TGTCAACAAATGGGCGTGCCTCTATATATTAGATCGGAAACCTTACACTAAAGCAATGTGGAGTATACTGTAGTACCGTCTCAAGTACTAGGCTTGAATGAAAATGGTGATACAGTTCGACTGGCGATCTCGTCTTCATCTAACAACTCAATTTCAGATTAGTAGGTAAATGAAGATGGCAATTAATTTTTTTTTCCATATTTTCAATTAGTTGAAGAATCGGGGCCACTAGTTAAGACCACAAAATAGTAAAAACCTATATCAAAATCTTTTGGAAAAACCATAGAGTAGCCTTCATAGAAAATTAGAAAACGTTGATATTAATGTATCAATGTTCTTATGGGCATTGATTGGTTATCGTCTCCACGAAGTACATGTTATACTTAATCAATGGCGTATAAAAGTTGGGCAAGATATGTTCTGAAAGGATTGGGGCATGTGATAATGTAAATTATAATCATGAGATGCATGTGGGAGAAAACAAATAATATGTAGTCGAGGGGGTTCTAAACTACTAATATTAAATCATGTCAACTTGAAGGAATGGATTCAAATTATATAATAATGAGATATAAAATGTATAAATAGCGATTCCTTTTCCAACCATTTATGATTGGGCTTAATGGCTTATGTATTAAGTCTTCACATGATATGAGACTTTCTAGAAGCATAGTGTTTGATTCATCACAATTCACAAATAGCTGCTTACCCTCATCAGGACGATAGTTACCAAAAAACTCATAAATCTATTGGTGGGATGTCAATTGAATCATAAACCCTTAAATTTGGCCAATTTAGTCATAAACATTTTGACAATTTGCCAATGTAGTTCTTCAAGTCAATTTTGGCCTACATATTATTCACGTGTACACCAGTCGTCTTACGTGACATCGGTCATCCTACGTGGTATTGCCAATGCTGACGTAAACAATTTTTGCTATTTTTAAAAAAAATTCTAAATTCCTTATATATTTATTTTCTTTTTTCTTTTCATCGTGGTCGGCTAGGGTCGCTGGCAACCCTAGCCAACCACTGGGTGAGGGCTTGAAAGCCTTAGTCGGCCGCTGGCGAGGGTCGCGGCCCTCACTCAAGTCCTCTTTGACCACAATAAAAAGAAAAACCCTAATCGCTACGATAAGAACCCTTTCGTGGTCCGACATATCTCAAGTTTTCGAGAGAGAAATGCTAAATCACTAATCAATATTACTAAAACTCTTTTACTAAGTGATGTGGATAGTCGTGCGAAACCCTACTCTACCATGGATTAACAAGACGGATGCAGTTGGAACCCAATAATTAAGCATATCATGCAACTTGGCTACGCCTTTCTTGTCATTCTGCATGCGTGAATGGCTATACTAATCAAGCACTTAATGGCCCAAAAAGATAAATTAAGAAAAGATCGCTCAAGAGAAAGGGAATTGAATTGGAAAGTGCTTGAGGGTTAGGTCATGGGAGGACAAGAGTCCACTTTGCTGATGATGCTCAGCTAGAGACTCTCCATCAGAATCAGATTGTTATATCATAAGCAATTTTGCTGAAGTGACATGTTATCAAACGTGGTGTTTACAACTCGTTGATTTTAGTCAGATTCCCAAGAGGAGTGTGTGGTTTTTTTTTTTTCCTAGTAGTAGGAAATGTAGTTGACAACATTTAATTATAGAATTGTTTAGTTTAGTGATGTTAATAATGTTATCTAAAGATTATGTGTGGTGTAATCTTTGCTTGACATGCACACAAGAACCCTAATTCGTCCCATCAATTTGAACATCAAGTTGTGTCTCTCGTCACTTAATAAATTAATTTCGATAAGATTTTCTCATAGTGCCGCGACTATCCTTTTATATCGCGTTGCAAATGAAAATCAACGATAAATTCAGAGAATTGCATATGCATCCATCGGTAGAAGGAGATGGCAGACAAATGACAGCCAGGCACAATCCTTATCTATTAGAAAATAAAGATAAAGAACGAGACGATGGAAATGGACGGTAGGTGGCGTAGATGCTGATTAATGACGGGTAACTAGTTTTTTTATGGTTGCAATTGCTGGAGAATTGAAACCCAACTTGCTAGAGAGAGAGAGCCGGCAAAGAGACGAAGAAAATGCAGTTGGCTTTGGTGGTCCTGTGCTTGTAGCGTTTGGAATCGGAGCCCCAGTGGTCCTTTAACTATCATCACGCTCTCAGCTCTTTTTGCCCATCTCTCTCTCTCTCTCTCTCTCTCTCTCTCTCTCTCTCTCTCTAGCTACACCGTCCTTGCACTTTGAGCCCTTTTGATTTTTTGTTCTTTTCGTTGCTTTCGAGCTTAAAGACCTTATAACCACAGCACTTTGGGCTTTTTAGCTCATGGGCGTGTGTGTAGGGGACTAAAGTTTAAAAGAAGATTGTATTATTATTCCTTTTCTGCGATCCAAAAAGAAGGCACACCAGCATTAAGTGATCATAAAGAGAAAAGTGAAAGTGAGCCCTTTTATTATGTAAACTAATCTGGAGAGGATATAGAAGGAAGGAAGGAAGCATCTATCTGCTCCTTTGGACTTCCAGGGCTCGTACATAGCTAAGTGAACCACAAGGAAAAGGAAACTGTACATCTGCACATGCCATGTCTTATCTTTATCGTACTTTGCGTACAAATGTGATAGGAACATAAATAAAGGTAGGTCGTCTCGGGTAATATCTTAATTAAAATGCCTCTTCAGTTATGAAAAAAAATATTCATTTAAAGTGCGCAAGTGGAAGCCGAGCAGTGCTGACATCAAAGTATATCATTTGAGATTGGCCGATACCCGAGTGAGTTTACCTTATAAAAGGAATTGGAAATCTCGAGGATGCAACGCGATTCATCCGGGTTTTGATTCGGGCGCGCTATATTGCAAATGATGCAAGAGATTCGAAAGCTCATATTCGAATCTCTCCGGTAACAAAATATAGCGCAATATCTCCGTGGTGATTGGACCTGGCTCCACTTGTTGATAGTTCACTTAGACTCCCATATAAAATTTGTAATATTACTAAACCTAACATGTTCTTAATGTAATCGTGTGCATGAATCTGGAGGGATTCCTCCTGTGTAAGGAGGAACATAGAGATTAAAGAGGAAGTAGTTCGCTATGCTTCTAACTCAAAGCCTTTGAAATTTGGCAAAAAAGAAAAACAAAAAAGGCTAGATGATAATAGAGTTAATGGCTTTTTGTAGGGAAATTGATGCCCAACATTTTTCAAACCTAATTGGATAAAGGGTCAACCTAACTTTCTTGCTGTGTTCCTGCAATTGGCCCTCCTAATTTTCTTCGGCTAATATGATTGTGATAGTTCTTAACAAGAGAAATGTCTGGGCATTACCGTTCTCCCAATCAATTATTACTTGTCAAAATAGATACTTTGTCCATCTTGATGGTATACATTTCATCTACGTTTATGTTCATCATACCCATGTTCAAGCATTGCTTACATTTGGTGAATCAACACCGAACGCTCGATGTATTTTATGATCTCAGTATCATGGCAAATAACTCTCGAGAAGCAAAGAGGATATTGAATATTTTCGCATACGTTAGTTATAAGAGACGTGATATTTCGCCCATCTGACGAATGTTTTGAGCGTCCCCCTACTGGTGGTCGTAGGATTGAGTCACGGAAAAGAGAGTCCTTTTGAATTATAATATATAGCAATTATCTCAAAGACAATAACTTTAGTCGATTAATTCTTCTAAATTGAAGAACTAAAACATGATTATCTTCGAAACTTACCAAGCTGGATAGGTATGGACCTTTCCTATTGGGCCGAAAAGCAGTGCACTTTACTTGGACCTGCTGGGCTTCCCACTTCAAAGGTGGGCCATAATTGCCACCCATGATGGCACCACATTTCAGTCCATTCGGCTTGTTCACTTCTATTTTGCTCTAATCAATCTGAATCTGCAAAGATCGATTTACAAAATTGATGTATGAAATCATGTGGCCAACTCCGATCGGGTCTTAGACGCTCGCGTGCCACTAGCTAGCAGTTTGTCACATCACCTTGTTAACTGATATCGCGTAAATCGTACCCGAGTGTCCCTTGCATTGCTCATATAAGTTAAGTGGGAGAAGATTCTGAAAATGAAGAAACAGTCGAGTCATGCATATATTGTTGGCTAGGGTTTGCATCTAATGAGAGATCATTTGTGAATGGCAGAAAGGGAATGGAAACATGAGATATCCTAGGCGAGACATTCTCTTCATTGGGACCAATTATTGCACATTTGTAGTTCGGTTGCCTTAATCGGAAAGACAACTCGCAAACAGCTTACTTCACCTTTGACCCAAGGAATGGATATATAGAGAGTTGATATTAATAAGAGGATCTTGGCAGATCCATTAATCTAATTGTTCACAAACATTCCAACCACTTCAATCTTCAATTTAATGACAAGCTCATCTTATCAACCTTGATAGAACGGAGAATATACTTGAGTCGTTATAGCTACAAAGAAAAACCAAAAGAGTGATTTATTTCATTTTGCGATTAAGTATAATCCTTTAATCAACTTACTCAAGATGAGGAGGTAGACAGATAGACCATCATATCGGCTATGCAGATCAAGATAAATCGACTGTATTTATGGGATGTACATCGTAACATAAAAAACTTTTATAAAATTATCATATGAGACGAATCAGAATATGATAAGATAATATGGGACTGAATGCGAAAAAAATATGTCAAATCGTGCTTACTGTATACATGGCAATGTCTTAAATCTTATCAAAAGTACATGTTGAATTTGGAGAATGAAAACATGGGGATGCCAAAATCAAATTGGACTCCACCTCGGGCCTCGGAGACTTTTCCACTCCAAAACAATAAAGCTTTTCCTGTTCTAGAACCAAATCTATCTGGCAACATGAAGAAAGAAGCCGTAGAGAAAAGTCGCCGGTCAACAGGTCAGACCCCAAAACGATTCAGAACTCTTCACACGTTGACCAGCCAATAATATCGTACACAATAAAAAGCAAGGCAGCATAAACCCAAGATATTGTTTTTTCTTTCCAGAAATCACCTGACATTTCTTGTTTTATTGGCATTGAGTAAAGCTTGGACAGTCAAGAAACTCCATGGACAAACAGAAGATGATAGCTATCGACAAGGAAGATGAATCATCATCATCATCGATCCCACTCTACGCCATGCAACTCGCGACTTCATCTGTCCTGCCTATGGTCCTGAAGGCAACAGTAGAACTGGGTGTGCTCGATATCTTGGAGAGAGAAGGCCCCGGCGCCATGCTCTCTCCTTCGCAGATCGCTTCCAAGATTCCCGTCAGGAATAACCCGGGCGCGCACGGCGTGCTCGATCAGATGCTTAGCCTACTCGCTAGCCACTCGATTCTCAGTGTCTCTTTGGGAAAAGGTCGCCAGGGTGATGGGGGTTGCAGAGTCTATGGTTTGGCACCTGTAGCCCAGTACTTCTTGAGGAACCAAGAAGGTGATTCGCTGAGTGATCTGATGTTCATGGTTCAGGACAGGGTCATGATTGATTTCTGGTAATGATTCTTTTTCCCTTAAAAAAAGAAGAATTAAGTAGGATCTTGATAGATGATGAGTCTGATGGTCATCAAAGCTGCTTCTTTGGAGAAAGTTTTAGACTCTAATTTTACATCTCCACCTTCAGTATGAGTAGGACTAAGTACCAAGACTAACAAATCTTCTTCACGGTCTGTTCATGCTTTTTATTCCTAAAAATATCGAGTTATCCCAAAATTCATTCAGACTGAATGCAGAAGACTTGTATTGAAATCATTTTCTAGTGGTAGACATTGTATCATATCCTATATAAAGGCATTTGCCTTTTGTGCAATATGTTGAGTACATCGTTGCCATCATTCTTGGCCTTTAAACCACGTTAACGTACTTTCAATCTCAATCTTTATGAGTTCTTTGTTTAGGATTTAAAGATATCTATACTGAAATATCTCATATTCATAACTATGATTTTGATGCATCGTTTGTGAATCATGCTTTATCTCCATCATTTTGTATACTGAAAGTGTAATTCTCAAAAGTAATTTTGTAGATAAAAGGCAACCATTTTCTTTTTCGGTTTTTTTTTTTTTATTTTCTTTTTCCAGTGTGGGAAAAAAAAAAAAAAAAGTTTTTGAGGGCTTTTGTTGGTATTCATAATTCCACAAAAATTCTTTGAGCAGGTTCCACTTAAAAGATGCTGTTCTGGAAGGAGGAGTTCCATTTGAAAGGGCGCATGGGATGAACGCAGTCTCATACTTACAGAAGGATGCAAGATTCTCTGAGATTTTCAAGAACTCAATGAAAGAATACAACAAATTGTTCATGTCGAAAATCTTTGACGTATACAAGGGTTTCGAAGGGCTCAACTCACTGGTTGATGTAGGAGGTGGCGATGGTTCCATTCTTAGCATGATCATTTCCAAGTACCCTCACATTAAGGCGATCAACTTTGATCAGGCATCAGTTATCGAGAAGTCGCCTTCTTATTCAGGTATGGAAGCGAGGACAATTCTCGTACAGACTTAGCAACTGTTGACATTGTTTTAGCGAAGTCAACCCGTGTCCTGTTCGAAATGGTAATGTAGAATCTGTGTGATTTTCAAAATGTAAAGAGAAGGCCTTTTTAGCAGCCCTTTTTATCAAGTTAAACTTCCTTCCATGAATATGTCATTACGGCAAGAAAGATAGTAGCCCCTTTTATGAGTGCCCGATGTCATTGATTAAGAACCAAATTGCCTTATCAATCTCTTATGGGATACTTCTTCCATAAACTGTTCACTCGCTTGCTACATTAGTCTCTAGCAACCCTAAGTGAAATTTTCATTTGCCAACAATAATGCAGTTTCTTCATTAGAATTGTATCAATGTGAATTATAGGGAATGGCATACTACTACAGTACACCAAAAAGAAGATCCTTCTTCCTTCATTTTAATCACAATGAAGAACCTAAAGCATCAGTACTTGAGACACATGATAGTTCAGTGAATTACAAATTGATTGTTTGGATCTTGATGGACACTATGATTTGGTACAGGTATTGAGTACATTGCTGGAGATATGTTTGTAAGTATTCCAAAAGGAGATGCGATTTTCATTAAGGTTAGTCTAGATAACCCAACAACTTCATATTGCTTCAGGGAGGTTGCAGAACGAGTAGCTAGAAGAAAGGTTCATTTGTTATTATCCAAAGATTCTCATTGACTTCTCAAGTTCTAGGTCAATTTTGTAGATTTCTGTACGTTTGTGCTCAAGTGCAAATACAATTTGGGCACTAACACTAGTGATATATGACAGTGGGTACTTCACATGTTTGACGATGAACACTGTATCAAGATCCTCAAGAACTGCTACGACGCGTTGCCAGACAACGGGAAAGTAATGGCGGTCGATCTGGTGATTCCAGAAGCCCCTGAAGCCAATCTTGCTGCTCGAAGCCTATTTCAGATGTACGTGTTCATGCGGAACATGAATCCAATGGGAAAAGAGAGAACCGAGAAAGAGTTTGAGACTCTAGCGAAAGAGGCGGGATTTTGCAGCATTCGAGTGGCCTACTCCGCTCATAACTTCTCCCTTGTTGAGCTATACAAGAATGCCAAATTTTGCTAACGTGATGCTTCACACAAGCCAATGCTTGCCCAGCTCATCAGTACAGAAGAATGCTCAACAAATCATGTATGCTTGATCATGTACAATAAAGAGATCAGCTGTTAAGTGAAACACCCTTTTAAATTTCCTCAGAGAGAGAGAGAGAGAGAGAGGACATTATGTAAACCGCTGTTTACAGAACGTATTTTGCCTACTAAAAATGGGACAATACCATCAGTAATCCATCTACTTTGCCCAAAATTCAAAACCGTATGTACTGTTTTTTTGTTTAAGATTGTCCTTATACTTTTTATTTAAAAAAAGAAAAATTTTAACAAAGTTAGCAAATCACAAGCTCACAATCCCCGAGCTTAATAGCACAGCGAACATACTTGAATTGTTCTAGCCATGGAGAAAAAACTACATGAGTGGTTTATCTCATTTTGCCTAACGTGCAAATCAAAACACGTGAACTACTTTTGAAAAATGCAAATCATAACATCACAGACTTTAACATTTATCATACAAGACAAGATAAGATATGATAGGATAAGGCGAATCACGCTACCTATTTGTATTTGTTATGTCTTTATTTCTTAAAATTAGATGTTAGACTTTGGAGAATGAAAACATGGGAGATGTAAAAATCAAATTGACTCTTCTACTCGACAGCAACCAGGTTTTTTTCCAGCTCTAGAACCAAGTCTATGTGGTAGCCGCTAAGAAAAGTCGTCTGTCAACAACCCCACCACGGCTTAACCTTAACCAAGTCTTCACGAGAAAATTTTGGGTGCCACGTCACAGTTACGTTAACCCGAGCGACACGTGTCGCTGGCGGGCCCACATGTCAGAAAACCTCCGAGCCTCTACCCTCTCTCATCTTGACCGGCGACAACATCATACCCCGTTAAAAGAGCACAAGGCTTTACAGTAACATGAATTACGACAAAAACCCATCATCATATTTAGTTCTCCCCCTGAAATCACTTTCTGAAATTTCTTGTTTCATCGGCGTTGACTCGAGCTAGACCAGTCAAGAAACTCCATGGACAAACACAAGATGATAGCTAACAAGGAGGAGGAAGATGAATCATCGTCCTCATCGGTCCCGCTCTACGCCATGCAACTGGCGACTTCATCAGTCCTGCCCATGGTCCTGAAGGCAACGGTCGAACTGGGCGTGCTCGACATCTTGGAGGGAGAAGGCCCCGGCGCCATGCTCTCTCCTTCGCAGATCGCTTCCAAGATTCCCATCAGGAACAACCCGGACGCGCACGGCGTGCTTGATCGGATGCTCAGCCTCCTCGCTAGTCACTCGATTCTCACCGTCTCTTTGGTAAAAGATCGCCAGGGTGATGGGGGTTGCAGAGTCTATGGTTTGGCACCTGTGGCCGAGTACTTCTTGAGGAACCGAGACGGTGGCTCGTTGAGTGGTATGATGTTCATGGTTCAGGACAGGGTCGTGATTGATTTCTGGTAATGATCCTTTTTCCCTTAAAGAACAGAAGAATTAGTAGGTTCTTGATAGATGATGAAACTGATTGTCATCAGAGCTGCTTCTTTTGAGAAAGTTTTAGCTTCTGATTTTAGTACTCCACCTTAACTATGACTAGGACAAAGTATTGACACTAACAAATTTGCTTCACAGTTTGTTCATGCTTTTTGTTCGTAAGTTATTTCAAATTATTTGTCTGAATGGATTTGAATCATTCTCTGATATTGTATCTATTTTGTTCTGCCTTTTTGACTATGTTGTTTCTGTGTCACCATTTCTTGGCCTGACCGCTTAACGTACTTCCCAATGTGTATAAGTTCTTTGTTTAGGATTTAAAGATATCTATACTGAAACGTCCCATATTCATAACTATGATTTGATGCATCGTTTGTGAATCATGCTTTATCTCCATCATTTAGTATACTGAAAGTGTAATTCTAAAAAGTAATTTTGCAGGTAAGAGGTGAGCATTTTCTTTTTTCTTTTTTGGGGGCTTTTGTTGGTATTTAAATTTCCATAAAATTCTTTGAGCAGGTTCCACTTAAAAGATGCAGTTCTGGAAGGAGGAGTTCCATTTGAGAGGGCACACGGGATGACCGGACCCTCATACTTAGGGAAGGATGCAAGATTCTCCGAGATTTTCAAGAACTCAATGAAAGAATACAACAAATTGGTCATGTCGAAAATCTTCGACACATACAAGGGTTTTGAAGGGCTCAGCTCACTGGTTGATGTAGGAGGTGGCGATGGTTCCACTCTTAGCATGATCATTTCCAAGTACCCTCACATTAAGGCGATCAACTTCGATCTGGCATCGGTTATCGAGAAGTCGCCTTCTTATTCAGGTATGGAAGCAAGGGAAAATTCTCATACAGACTTAGCGACTGTTGACATTGTTAGCAAAGTCAACCAGCATCTCGAAATGTAAAGAGAAGGCTTTTTTATTGGCTCTTTTTATCACATAAACGTCCTTCCATGAATATGTAGTTAGGGCAAGAAAGATAGTAGTCCCTTTTATGAGTGCCCGATGTCATTGATTAAGAACCAAATTGCCTTATCAATCTCTTATGGGATACTTCTTCCATAAACTGTTCACTCGCTTGCTACATTAGTCTCTAGCAACCCTAAGTGAAATTTTCATTTGCCAACAATAATGCAGTTTCATCATAAGGATTGTATCAATGTGAATTATGAGCAATGGCATACTACAGTATGCCAAGAAGAAAATCCTTCTTCCTTCATTTTAATCACAATGAAGAACCTAAAGCATCAGTACTTGAGACACGTGATAGTTCAGTGAATTACAAATTGATTGTTTGGATCTTGATGGACACTATGATTTGGTACAGGTATAGATTACATTGCTGGAGATATGTTTGTAAGTATTCCAAAAGGAGATGCGATTTTCATTAAGGTTAGTCTAGATAACCCAACAACTTCATATTGCTTGAGGGAGATTGCAGAACAAGTAGCTAGAAGAATGGCTCATTTGTTATTATCCGAAAATTCTCGTCGACTTCTCAAATTCCAGGTCAATTTTGTAGGTTTCCGTACATTTGTGCAAATACAATTTAAGCGCTAACACTGGTGATACATGACAGTGGGTACTTCACATGTTTGATGATGAACAATGTATCAAGATCCTCAAGAACTGCTACTACGCGTTGCCAGACAATGGAAAAGTAATGGTGGTCAATTTGGTGATTCCAGAAGTGCCTGAAGCCAATCTTGCTGCTCAAAGCTTGTATCAAATGTTCGTGTTCACGCGGAGCGTGAATCCAATGGGAAAAGAGAGAACCGTGAAAGAGTTTGAGACTATAGCGAAAGAGGCGGGATTTTGCAGCATTCGAGTGGCCTATTCCGCTCATAATTTCTCCCTTGTTGAGCTATACAAGAACGCCAAATCTTGCTAATTGGATGCTTCACATTGGCCAGTGCTTGCCCAGCTCATCAGTAGAGAGGGATGTTTAACAAATAATGTATGCTTGATCATGTACAATAAAGAGATTAGCTGCTAAGTGAAACGCCCCTTTAAATTTCCTCAGAGAGAGAGAGAAGACATTATGTAAACTGCTATATACATAACGTATTTTGCCTAATAAAAAATGGGATAATACCATCAGTGATCTATCAACTTTGCCCAAAATTCAAAACCATCTCTGTAATTCTTTTTTTTGTTTAAAATTGTCCTTATTTTTTTTTTCTTTAATAAAGTCAGCATAATTTTTACCAAGTTAGCAAATTTGTGACATTAATATCACGTCATCAAAATCCGTCCTCAAAACGGCGCACATACGAACAGTGAATTGATAACCCATTTCAAAAAGTACAATGATCATTTTGAAACAACAAAAAAAAAAAATAGAGGGACAATTGAATTTTCAGTAGAGCGATTATTGACGGCGTTATTCCAATAAAATTTACATCTGTGGGCAATAAACTAAGCAATTTACCTTGTTATGCTTAAGTAAATGCCCAAATTAGAAAAGGAAACATGGAGATGTCAAAATCAAATTTGAGTTATCTGGGAGATTTTTGGGATAATTACACAATGATCTTTGAAATCGGCCCAATGTATAATATCATCCATGAATTTTTAATTTATTTATTGGAGTCCTTGACCTTTTAGTAAATATTCAATTCAGTCCTTAAACTATATGTGATATGAATCTGTGCGGAAGATGATCGTTCTACGAACATCTTTGAGTTACGAATTGCTGACCTCGACCCCCAATCGAACCTGTGATTGGTAATCTCGGTATGAACGCGACCTGTCGACGAATCTGTGTCAACCAATCCACGCTATAACGCCACGAACAAGAGAATTCGCGATCTTGCTCGATAAGTTGAATTCGATCGCCACAAGGGAGCCTTGATAAGATCTAGTCCTCAAGAGAACTCAAGAAGAAAACTTCTCTATATAAAATTCTATCTCTCCCTCTTAGAAATCTATAAGCAACCTTATATAGGGTGCTAACCCTAATCCTAATCCTACTAGGATTAAAATTACAAAAATAACCTTAATTGCTAAAAATTCGTCCAAAAATGGAAAAATGCCTAAAAGTTCATCTAAACGACTCCAAATCGCTAAAAAACGTCATCAAACACTACTAAAGTAGTGAGTATTGATCAGCGGCCCGTTTCCAAGCGTCCATTCAAATTTGAGCCAATTCGGTGTTCGTCAATTCTAAGTTCCTTCAGAATTCGCTGGACCAAGAGTAATCATGTTGCGCCAATGAGCTTCAGAATCTTCAAGTTTCGAATCCAGATTGTCTCCATTCCAAATATCTTGAACCATAATGCCGACAGCTTGTTTGAATTCCTTCGCTCTCGCTCGAGTGATCGGGCCTAGCGGATAGAACAACGGGTCCCTAGCACCTCTTCCTCGATAAGGTTCGATGTCCACATCAATATGAAAATACTTAATATTATCCTTCCATTAATTTGAGTTAACAGAATTTGCTGATTTGACTTCCAATTTGAAAAGTGGACAAAAAAGTGACGTTACATGTGAATTAGCCACGTAAGATATTAAACTCAAATCAAGACATAGTAATCCACATCATTAAAAAAGATGGATAATCATTTTTCAAATTGAACAAATTAAACAAATTAAAAGAATTATTATATTCTAATTTGAATTAAATATCTAATATGGATAATTCACGTGTAACGTTTTTTTTATCCACCGTTCAACCGGATTGAAAGCCAAATCAGCAAATTCCGTTAACTTGACTAACAACAACATCGTACCCATTTAAGAGAGCACAAAACTTTACCCTAACATGACATTACAACATAATCCCATCATTTTGTTCTCCCCTGAAATTAGCTTTACAAAGCTCTTGTTTCATCAACGTTGACTCGAGCTAGATAGTCAAGAAACTCCATGGACAAACACAAGATGATAGCCAACAGCAGCAGCAGCAGCAACGAAGATGAATCAACATCGTCATCGATCGCCCTGTACGCCATGTAACTGGCGACTTCATCGGTTGTGCCCATGGTCCTGAAAGCAACGGTCGAGCTGGGTGTGCTCGAGATCCTGGAGAGAGAAGGCCCTGACGCCATGCTCTCTCCTTCGCAGATCGCTTCCAAGATTCCCGTCAAGAACAACCCAGACGCACACGACGCGCTGGACAAAATGCTTAGCCTCCTCGTGAGCCACTCGATTCTCAGTGTCTCTCTGGGAAAGGATCACCAGGGTGATGGGGGTTGCAGGGTCTACGGTTTGGCACCTGTGGCCAAGTATTTCTTGAGGAACCAGGAAGGAGGTTCATGGAGTGGTCAGATGTTGATGGTTCAGGACAAGGTCATGATTGATGTGTGGTAATTATTCTTTCCATAAGAGAGAAGACTTACTAGGTTCTTCGTAGATGATCATGAAAGGTGCTCTTTTGAAATTTAGATTCTCACTTAGGTTTATGTATATCCACTTTAAGTAGGACTAACAGAGTTGCATCATGGAATTATGTTCATGCTTTTAATTCATTTTCACATGGATTTGGTTTCTCCCTAATTCCTTGTTTCTAACAGGTATAGACATGTACTCTGAATCATCCTTTTAGTTTAGACGTCTCAAGTCCTGTGGTATGAAATGCCTGAGTTACAAGGTCGTTGCTATCGCTCTTTGCTGTAGAATTGTATTCTCAATCTCAAACTTCAAATTTCAGCATCTGGGATCAAATGTTTTATACCGGCAGAACCCATTTTCGTATGTCAGAGTGCGATGCATCGTCTATGAATCATGCTTTATCTCCAGTATTTTCACATCCCGAAATTATAGTTTTCAATAGTTTAGGCTGTTGTGGGAACAGGTTTCACTTGAAAGATGCAGTTCTGGAAGGAGGAGTTCCATTTGAAGGGGCACATGGTGTGAATGCATTCTCATACTTAGGGAAGGATGCCAGATTCTCTGAGATTTTCAAGGACTCCATGAAAGAATACAACAAGCTGTTCACGTCGACAATCTTGGATGCATACAGAGGTTTTGAAGGGCTCAACTCACTGGTTGATGTGTAGGAGGTGGTGATGGCTCCATTCTTAGCATGATCATTTACAAATACCCTCACATTAAGGGGATCAACTTCGACCTGGCATCGGTTATCGAGAAGTCACCCTCTTATTCAGGTATGGAAGCAAGGAAGGTTCTCGTGCAAACTTATCGACCGTTGACAATGTTAGAAAATCAATCACAGTCCAGAATTCGTATGAAGTCCCGATTGAAGTTCTAATGTAGAACTTAAACTTTTAAACGTAATGGTAAGGCTTCTCTAGCGGTTTTTTTATCACATAAACCTCCTTCCACAAATGCAATAGCTATTGGCAAAAAAATTAGCATTTCTTCCATAAACTGTTCACTAATTTTTGGCTTGCCATATAAATCTCTAGCAATCCCAATTGGAATTTCATTTGCGAACAGTGACGCAGTTTCTTCTCTGGGGCTGCAGAAATATAAATTAAGGTCAATGACATTTCACAATAAACCAAAAGAGAAATTCCTTCCTACTTCATTTTAACCACGATAAAGAACCTAAAGCATCATTATTTGAGACACACATCAGTTCAGTAACTCATAAATTGATTAATTTTCGAATTTGATGGAGACTATGATTTGGTACAGGTATTGAGAACATTGCAGGAGCTAAGTTTGTGAGTATTACTAAAGGAGATGCCATTTTCATGAAGGTTAGTCTTAGATGCAGAACAAGGAGCTAGAAGAATGCTTTTTTCATTATTATCAGAGTTCTGGTCAACTTCTCTATATTCTAAGTCGCGTGAAAATTTCGGTTCTTCGCACATTATGAGCACTAACTCGGTAACTAATGACGGTGGATACTTCATACATGGAGCGACGAGTTCTGTATTAAGATACTGAAGAACTGCTTCGACACTTTACCTGACTGCGGGAAAGTAATGGTGGTTGATATGGTGATTCCAGAAACACCTGGAGCTAATCTTGCTTCTGCAAGCCTGTTTCAAATGTACGTGTTCATCACAAGCACGTTTCAAGGTGGAAAAGAGCAGAGCGAGAGAGAGTTCGAGAATCTAGCAACGAAGGCAGGCTTTTCCGGCATTCGAGTGGCATATCGTGCTCACAACTTCTCCCTTGTTGAGCTTTACAAGAATGCGGAATCCTGCCAATTGTATGCTCTAGCAGGCTAATACATTGCCCAGCTCATCAGTAGACAGGAAAGCTCAACAATTCATGTATGATTGATCATGTATAATAAAGAGATTAGTTACACGCACGCGCGTACATGATGTATACCTCTATTTACAAGATGTATTTTGGCTTACCACCAAAAGTTAATTTGGGAGCATAGTTAAACTAAGCAACGTTGGGTGATTCAGATCGAAGGAACATCCCGCTATTTTGTCGCTTTTCCTTCTTGCAAATTTTGGACCACTAGTTAAGATTTCAACTAATATATGGCATAATCAATGTATTCCTATCATTGTGTAAACAACAACGTCATATCCAACAAGCTTGAGCAGCACTGTAATCTCGAAATTCTACATGTCATGCCATGTAGTCTCGCCTATCAACATGATTCCTACCAAAACGCTCGACTTGTATGCGTTTCTGTATCTCTCCCGAATTCCTCATGAACAGCGGTTACATCAGACATGTATGTTTTCGCATGGCCGAAAGGTTCAGAGGCCTCGACTGAATTATTTTCAAAGGATGGGCGGATTTCGTTTTCCTACTAATGTTGTCATCTGTAGTTCTTTCACTTTCCCAAATTAATAGTCGAGAGTTAAATCATCCAATCATAGATATCTGGATTTGTAGAGGCTCATAACTCAAAATGCCCACAGCGGCCGAAGTACATCAACACAGGCAAACTTTTTTACCAAAATGAATCTTAAACAAACCAGACAACCGAAATTCAATGATGCGAAGATTGGAGAGCTCAAAGACCCAATCCAGCTCAACAGGAGCAGCTCTCTTTAATACTTAACGAACTAGTAATCGTAGTCAAAGAAACTAGACACAAGGTGAGTACATCACATCATAATCCTGAAGAGCCTCAGAGGCCCAGCTAAGAGAAAAAGGACAAAACAGCAACATCCAACCAAATTTGGAGCTAAAATGTGACCCAAACTCTACCATCCTTATACAATACCAAAACTAAATCAGTCACCTTCCGACATCCACTCTCTTTCGATTTGAATGGTGACGTGACTTATATTGTACTCTCTTCTGATGTAGTCTACGACCTGGTCCAGGACCATATCGGCGTTGGTGTCGCGCTTTATTTTGACGTGGCAGGCTAATAGCACCTTTCCAACCGTTATAGCCCAGATGTGCAATTCATGGACCGCAATCACTTCATCCATCTCGCAAAGTCCCCTCTCGAGCCTTGTCGCATCAATCTCTCTAGGCGTATTCTCCATCAAAACCTCCAGAATGTTACGGAGCATCCTTATTGTTGTCCCCAGCACAATTACTGAGAATACCAGGGTGCAGATCAAATCGACAATCTTCCACTCAGGCTTAATCCATATAACCGCACCGCCAATCATCACACCTACACTTTGAATCGAATCCCCTAGTACATGAAGATAAGCACCTTGTATGTTAATATTACGCTGCTGCTTCTGTTTGGTTCCAGGTTCTGAGTCACCTTCGGCTTCCAAGCAAGTCTGCAGAAGAGGTTCGGTTTGATTTGTTTCGTGGCCGTGATGCTGATCAGCATGTCCTTCAGAACCTTCTCCATGATGATGACGGTGATGTTTCTTGATAGTTAATCCATGAGTATGCAAATCACCATGATCCTCGTGGCTATGAGCATGATCACTATGTCCATGTGCATCATCTTCATCATGCCCATGACTATGTCCATGACCGTGGTCACCATGACCGTGACCGTGACTGTGATCATGACCCAGTAAGAGCGCCATGGCAATATTCACGAGAAGACCAAATGCAGCAATAATGAACATGAGAAAGCCATGAACTTCGGTGGTACCGTTAATAAGTCTATCTATTGCTTCATACACAAGAATCCCAGCAAGTAGCCATATAATCTGGATGGAGACAAGTGCACCAAGAATTTCAATTCGGAAGAAGCCATAGGACTGGCGTGGAGTTGCCTCCCAACCTGATGCCCAAAGAGAGAACAAGGATATTGCAAATGAAGCAACATCCGACAGCAAATGCGCCGCATCCGTGAGAATGGCAAGACTGTTGGCTTCAATACCACCAACTACTTCTACGCTCATGAAGATCACACAAAGCACAACCACAATCAAAAGTTTCTTCATCGAGGTTGACCTCTCTCTTGCATCTTTCGAACTATTTCTAGCGTCTGAAAAACCACAAGGTGCCTCTGCGCATACCTTACTACCAACCTGGCTCGTTTCCATGGCTGACACATCTCCACACACTTCGATGATGTGTCCATGTTCAGAATCGTGTGTGCTCATCTATAGCAAAAGAAACAACCAAGTGAGTCGAATACCCAAAGTAAGCGATGGCCCCACAGCTAAAGGTACACTGAAGGATAACAGAGTAAGAGTAAGCCTATACCAGGAAATCTTTAATGGTCGATCTTATTTCCTCATCTAAAGTTGGATGGTTCCACTAAAAGAAAAAGGAGATGCCAAACCGAAGTTTACCAAATATAGTGAGACGACTGCATTCCCCAAATTTACACTGGCACTCTTGGGCCTTGTCCAACCCAAGAAATGATAACCCCCCGTCCAACCAGAATTAACAAGTATTTTTTACTTGGTTTCTGTGTCTTTTTTCATTCTAAGGAACTGAGAATGTTGATGCAGTTAATCCTCACACGTAGCCCCTAACAACACATGGCGCCACATTATAGGCTGAAATGCTTGCCCAAAATGAAAAATACCCGGTCTACTTTGATTCCTAGTGTTTTTTTTTTTTCCTTTTTTGGTCAGAACTTTGATTTCTAGTTTGCCTATTTCATTTTGGGCAAGCTTTTCTACGGATGGCGAGGCACCATGTGTTGCTAGCTGTATATTAGGACTGATTGTAGATGGACTAGACTAACATCAACATTTTGTATTCGCTTGAATTACAAAAGGACACAACAAATAAGTCAGACATAATTTATTTACTTGGTCTGAGAAGTAACACTTTCTTCACTTGGGTTTACATGCAATGAAGAATCCCTGCACTATCAGACCCGATATGGAGAAAGTATTTCTCGACATTCTTCAGCAATATCATCTGTCTCAACATGTCTATGGAAGTCTACTTAGATCATCCATGTGGTCACTGAACAATATATGTCACATCCACGACCATATGACATGCTATAAAAGTTGGATGTTAACAGTGACAACATAGACATACAGTGTACCCACTTAAAAACTCCTTTTGTAGGTTCGAATCTGCCCTTCGTTACGTTATAAAGTTTGTAGACATCAACAATCCTCCAAAATACTAGAGCTACTCGAAGCGCTAGCTTATATACTTAAAAAGGTCTTTTCTAGAGTGTAACTGTTCCTTTGCCAATGCATCCAGCATCACAGACTATAAAGTCCTCAAAACATGTCAACATCCAGAGATGATTTCACCTTACAAGATGAGATGATCCACGTGGTTTCTATCTACCTTGAACGGTTTCAACTTCAATCCATGAGATTTGACCCACCAAACATTCTATAACAAACCCTCAAGCTATTTCACGGTGCATCATGCCTAAATATTTCTCCCTGTTCCTCTTTTTTCCAACATTTTGTAGCTCCAAAGTCTAACTGCAAAATCCTTAGGCTGAATAGAGAACGACGAGCTAACAAGTAACGTTCAGTACTAATTTTTCCCAATGAAAAAGGATGAAGCGATCAATTAGTTGGTCGTTAAAGATCAGGCACATCTAAAACCAGCATCGAGCAACAAAGTTGAGTCACAGCTCAAGTCCAATTACCCAGATGACTGGCCTAATAATCCTGACAAATACCCGAAGAAAAAACTCATAACCAAAGATATTGTCAGCCAAAAAGAGGATACACACAAGTCGTAAGGACCAAGCAGATCTGCCATACAAGTCGACGTTATGACGGATATTACCAACACCAACACCGCGCAGATGACAGATCCCGGTCACAAAAGGCTAAGGACGGCCAAATCCCAAACCAAATAGAGTTACTACTCGACGAAACCTCCATTATAAAAAGAAAAAACGAAAGAGAAAAAAAGGAGGCCCAGTGACACTCTGCAAGCATTAGGCCGGCCTCTGTAACACAAGGCAAAATGGACTCTCTTAATCTTCTTCAAAGTCAAGAAAGGTCCCACACCCTTCCAAGTTCCCAGCAGCGTTAATTCTCAACACAGTTACAAACAGAGTCAACGCCATCGAAGCAGCAGCTTCTCTGGCTCCTCCTAATCAGCAAAAATTCGCTCGCATATTGCATCCAACCCATATCTTGAAAAGCTGATCATCATCAAAGTCAACCCTCAAAAGTCGCCCCCCCGAATTCCTACACAACCGCATTAAGCAAGAAAAACAAAAAAAACAAAAACAAACCCCTCCAAGCAAATCCCTTCATCAGCTCAAACCGAACTCGACATCTGTCGACCGCCGGCGACGGCATCAAAGCACGAATCCGAACCCAAGAAAAGAATTGAAAAAACAAACAAACGAGACCAAGGCAAATGGGAGAGAAAAACAAAAGAAACCTTTTTTGCTCCGGGTTGAGCTTCCGAGATAGAGACTAGTGCGACCGCCGGAGCTTCTCGGAGTGGAGACCCGATGCTCCGACTACGTTTCCTCCGTCATCTTCGTCTCCGTGCCTCCCCCTGTTCCGGTTGACAGAGAGTTCAGGCAGGCTACTCCCTCTTAATACTGACGTTTAGGGGGAGGTTAGGCATAACTTAAAAAACCATTTTTAAAATAAGTAAGTCTTCCATTCTTGATAACAATTTATATGCAAAAATTTTCATGGACGGCGAAAATATTTTTCGTCTAATCATTTTTTTTCAAACCATACGGGCAATCGTTTCTTGGATGAAGTTTTCAAATCTTTCATTTTTCACTAAAACGAACGGAATTTTCGCATCGATATTCAAAGTGTCGTGAGCGAGTTTTAAGTGATAATCCGCTTATTCAAATATTCCCTGAAATGCTATAAATCGATATTTATATACTCTATATTATCTTATTGTCGTTGCAATCCTACAACGTGAGATTATTACGTTTTTCTATTGATTTCCAGGTACTTATGCTTTTTGTTTCGTCAGTGATGCTTGTCTAATTCGTGAGGGCTAATTAAAAAAAAAAAACCACAAACTTTAGGTCGAGTGACAATTCTGACCTGAGCTTTTTTTTGTTCTGTAAAAAAGTACCAACTTTAGATTGAGTAACAATTTTGGCCCAAACTTTTTTTTGTTTTATAAAAAATCACCAATTTTCACTATTCTCCCAAATATGGCCTCTTGTTGACTTTCTGTTCGAAATCACCCTTGTTTGAGAAAAAATGTTATGATTGTGAGCTTGGCGGATCTCGTCCATGGCATTTGTCGACAGGCGTTGGTCTACAATTTCAAATTATGAAGTCGACCAAAGAAATTCAATCAGGAGATCTTTTGACTTCCGGTGAAGTGAAGGGGATGAACAGTTTCACTGTTAGTCTTGAGTTATGGCTCAAAGAAAAGACAATGAATAGTATTTTAAATCCAATCGCAAGCCACGTGGATTTATTGCTAAAGTGGAATAGTCAAGTTGGATAATCAATAGTTATAAGTCAAGGAGGTCGATTTGGGATTTAAGTGAAAGTTTGTGATTTTTTATAAGACAAACAAAAGTTAGGGCGAATTGTCACTCGACCTAAAGTTAGTGCTTTTTTTTTTTTAATTAGGCCAATTCGTGATGAAAACATATATTTATCACAATATTTGAATTCGGCTTTTGCCGGGTCGGGTACTAAAAAAGCCCGACGCCGAAGGTTTTTTTCGCTTTCCTTTTCCCAATTTCAATTTTCCCAACATTGTCGGTTAATTTTTTGTTTTGGGATATTCACGAGCAATATTTGGTATTGAATAAATTAGGGTTAATACCACGAAAAACGCAAAACCCGTAAACATATGATAACTTTACCCAAACTGGTACACATGTGACATCTTTACCCTTCGTTAGTTTCTATTAAATTTGACTGTTATATTGCTAAGTTGGATGACATGACAGTTGACGGATGTACTAGTTTAGGGTTTTATCCTCCGTTTACCAGTTTGTGATTTTTCATGGTATTAATCCAATTTGACGAAAACTAATGAAAAGTAAATTTGTCGTAAATGTATTTATTTGGAGTTTGTCACAGGTGTACATTTAGGGATTTTAGAGGTCAAAAAATTAATTTGAGATAAATTTATTATGAATATATTAGTTTGAGATTTTTCGTAACATTAAACCGTGGTTAAAGGATGATCGGACCTTAGTCCGATTTGACTGTTAGGAGGAATATCCCAATCGGCTGGAATTAATTATAAACGAGAACACTAGCCGTGTTCATCTGGAGAACATAATCGAATTAAACATTAAACGACAAAAGAGAGGAACAAAACGATAACGACTCCTGGGACATGATGATGCAACCCAAAAAAATATATTTATTTTTTATTACTATTATTTCAACTTTTAAAATCAATCATGGGTTATAGGGATAATTATTCAAGCAATGTGCTTTGGCTTTTGGCTAAAATACTTTTTTTTTAGGGAGTGATTCCATGAAATATCTTTCGTTTTCGGACCGTCGTTGCGGTGGTACGAGTAGAGTTAAAGTGGAACTTGACATGTATCTAAGTTCTTTGATGCTCGAGGGGCAAAGTTTGACGGAACTAATTTTTTGTTATTTATATGATATGTTTCCGTAAAAAATTTTATGAGGTATTTGTCGGAACGTGCTAATTTCGGTTAACAAAAAAAAAAACAAAACAAAACAGCTTTACAAATCAAATATCGTCACTTATTAAACGGAGGCCCTTAAGTTTAATCTAAAGAAATCCCGGGCGGGATCTCTATTTTTTAGGCCTTAACCAGCTCGAGCCATTCCCAGGAGAAATCGGGCCTAAGTTTGTCGCGAATGAACCTATGTAATTACTCCCTCCTGTCTATCGAGTGCGTGGAGAATATCATATTGTTACATGCAATCCGTGATGGATTGGGTTAATCACTAGGGCTGAGCGATTCCAAAGTGGGGAACCATAGAACTGACTCTATTACTGATCGTCATTCCGGTCCGGTTCCAGGTTTACTCGGGAACTAGTCAATTTCTTTTTTTTTCATTTTGTTCAATTCCTTAGTAGGACAAACTTTGGTAAAATATCCCCTTGTTTACAATCTAGGCATATAGCAATTACAGCAATATAGTAGAGTAACAAAATGGAGAGAAGTATAGTAAAAAGCAAACAGAAATATAAAACAATTGCGTAGCGTCGAAACCATCCCTTAGTCAAGCAAAAAAAAAAGTAAAGTAACAACAGGAGTACAATCCCCAAAAGTAACAATCTATAAAAGACAGAACAAAAACCACAGCATCTTCAACTACGTTATGTTGTGAAATGTTGAAAGCCGTCGACAATATGAAAGATTTCAATTCTTTGAAGGAGGTGGAGATCAAACAATGCATGTCCGCAAAAAGTTTGCCCAATGTGCCCGCATTCACCAAGTTAGAGACATATTGGATGTGGCCAGAAGCTGCAAAACGCACCATTCATTCGGGGAAGCAATTGCGACTTGAAACCTATCTTATCGGAACTGGTTCCCAACTTTTCAAATCCAAACCTATCCTCTAAATACTGGAACCGGACAAGAATCGAACCCAGTTCCAGGATGCTCACCCCTAATAATCACCGTGTTGAGAGGGTAAGCGGTCTAGTATAAAATGCCACGTGATCTAATGGCATTGCTCTCGTGCGATCCTGAACTCGACGTGTACAAAGCGAAGGGATCATCATCATGTTTCGAGGTGGAAAAGAAAGGACCCGGAGAGAGTTCAAGACTCTAGCAACGGAGGCAGGCTATTCTGGCATTCGAGCGGCATATCGTGCTCACAACTTCTCCCTCGTTGAGCTTTGCAAGAACGCCGAATCCTGCCAATTATATGCTCTAGCAGCCTAGCAGGCTAGTACATTGCCCAGCTCATCAGTAGATAGGAAAGCTCAGCAATTCATGTATGATTGATCATGTACAATGAAGAGATTAGTTACACGCACGCACGTACAGAGAGAACACGATGTAAACCTCTGTTTACAGGATGTATTTTGGCTTACCAAAAGTGAATTTGGGAGCATTATTAAACTAAGCAACGTTGGGTGATTCCAGAGCGAAGGAACATCCCGCTATTTTGTTGCTTTTCCTTCTTGCAAATTTTGGACCACCAGTTAAGATTTCAACTAATATATGGCATAATCAATGTATTCCAATCATTGTGTAAACAACAACATCATCTCCAACAAGCTTGAGCAGCACTGTAGTCTCGCCTATCAACATGATTCCTACCAAAACGCTCGACTTGTATGCACTTCTGTATCTCTACCGAATTCCTTATGAACAGCGGTTACATCAGACAGGTATGTTTCGGCATGGCAGAAAGGTGCACAGGGCTCGAGCAAATTATTTTCAAAGGATGAGCGGATTTCGTTTTCCTACTAATGTTGTCATCAGTAGTTCTTGAACTTTCCCAAATTAATAGTCGAGAGTTAAATCATCCAATCATAGATATCTGGATTAGTAGAGGCTCATAACTCAAAATGCCCACAGCGGCCTAAGTACATCAACACAGGCAAACTTTTTAACCAAAATGAATCTTAAACAAACCAGACTACCGAAATTCAATGATGCGAAGATTGGAGAGCTAAAAGACCCAATCCAGCTCAACAGGAGCAGCTCTCTTTAATACTTAACGAACTAGTAATCATAGTCAAAGAAACTAGACACAAGGTGAGTACATCACATCATAATCCTGAAGAGCCTCAGAGGCCCAGCTAAGAGAAAAAGGACAAAACAGCAACATCCAACCAAATTTGGAGCTAAAATTTGACCCAAACCCTACCATCCTTATACAATACCAAAACTAAATCAGTCACCTTCCGACATCCACTCTCTTTCTATTTGAATGGTGACGTGACTTATATTGTACTCTCTTCTGATGTAGTCTACGACCTGGTCCAGGACCATATCGGCGTTGGTGTCGCGCTTTATTTTGACGTGGCACGCTAATAGCACCTTTCCAACCGTTATAGCCCAGATGTGCAATTCATGGACCGCAATCACTTCATCCATCTCGCAAAGTCCCCTCTCGAGCCTTGTCGCATCAATCTCTCTAGGCGTATTCTCCATCAAAACCTCCAGAATGTTACGGAGCATCCTTATTGTTGTCCCCAGCACAATTACTGAGAATACCAGGGTGCAGATCAAGTCGACAATCTTCCACTCGGGCTTAATCCATATAACCGCACCGCCAATCATCACACCTACACTTTGAATCGAATCCCCTAGTACATGAAGATAAGCACCTTGTATGTTAATATTACGCCGCTGCTTCTGTTTGGTTCCAGGTTCTGAGTCACCTTCGGCTTCCGAGCAAGTCTGCAGAAGAGGCTCGGTTTGATCTGTTTCGTGGCTGTGATACTGATCAGCATGTCCTTTAGAACCTTCTCCATGATGATGACGGTGATGTTTCTTGATAGTTAATCCATGAGAATGCAAATCACCATGATCCTCGTGGCTATGAGCATGATCACTATGTCCGTGTGCATCATCTTCATCATGCCCATGACTATGTCCATGACCGTGGTCACCATGACCGTGACCGTGACTGTGATCATGACCCAGTGAGAGCG